TAAGAACAAAACAATTTAAATTTAATGAGTATTCATTAAACTTTTATAAACAAAGTTTATATGTCATTTTTAAAAGTAACATAGTGTACAGTATTTTTTTGTAGAATAATTCATTGCAAATAGCTCGTTAATATTCCCTACAAGGGAAAAAAAAAGGCTCCCACAGGGGACATAACTATATGTACATAAAAGTAATAGTATTAGCCGGGCATGGTGGCGCGCGCCTGCAGTTCCAACTGCTTGGGAGGTTGAGGTACGAGGATTGCTTGAGCCTGGGAGTTTGAGGTTGCAGTGAGCTATGCTGATGCCACTGCACTCGTTAAGTGACAGAGACCCTGTCTCCAAAAAAATAAAAGTAATAATAATCACTACTTCATTTTGAAGTTCATATATTACGATGAAAGAATGTAAAGTGTATCTGAGAATAGTATGTCACACTCTCTCCCATACCATGAAATGGCCATCACTTCCCAGCCCCTCTAGCCAATGTATAAAATATATATGTATTACACTTCAAAGTTATATCTTATTTAGATAGCTGACATCAAACCTTCTTAGATTAGTAAGTACATTGTGATCTTTTGCTCTAGACCTCTTGAGCAGATAAATCTGTTACTTCATAAGGTATATGTGGAAATGTGTCAAGAACAATAATTACCATATGAGGTCATGATAAGCTGGCCCAGAACAAGGTCAGTTAGCCATCTGGTCAGCTGACAGCACAGACATGTGCTGGGGGACATCCCCACATATTGCCACTCATGATCCCCTTGCTCATGGTGATCAAGGATGATTACCGTGTAAGATCAGCTTTCCTGAAAGCCAACTGATTTACATATCCGTGAAGCAAAAGCAAGCACCTTCCTACTAATAGTTGTGTTCATTACTCTGTCCCTAATTCCACCCTGTTAAATCATTTGGAATATACATGTTGCTTATCGTATTCACTAAACTATGTAAATAAATGTGTCCTGAGAATCCAGTTAATAAGAAAACAGTAGCTTGAGCTAAGCAATAAACTTGTGATAGTCTCAAGAGAAAAATGATTATATTTATGTAAACAGACATCCCTGACTTACTGTGGTCCAACTTACGATTTTTCTACTTGATGGTATGAAAACGTTATGCTTTCAGTAGAAACCATACTTCAAGTACCCATACAACCATTCTATTTTTCACTGTCAGTATAGTACTCAATAAATTACATGAGATATTCAATACTTTATTATCAAACAGCTTTGTGCTAGATGATTTTGCCCAACTGTAGGTTAATGTAAGTGTTCTGAGCACATTTTTAAGTAGACTAGGCTAAGCTATGATGTTTGGAAGGGTAGGTTAGGTGTATTAAATATATTTTCGACTTCCAACATTTTCAGCTTACAACAGGTTTATCAGGACATAACTCCATTGTAAGTCGAGGAGAATCTGTATGTGTGTATATATACATATACACGCTATTTATGTATAGAAAGGATCTAATAGGTTACTTGCTAATATGAAATGGCTGACTATTATTGTTCCAGGCTTGTATTACTCCAAGTATTTTTAACAAAGATAATTTATGGTTCTGTGCCCACTGTCTTAAATAGAGAGTCGCAAATGGAAGTTCTTGCTCCTCTATAAATTATTTGAAAATAAACAAAGACCTAAGACATTTTTCCAGAATTTCTATTTTTAGAGGTTCAATTAGGAAATATAAATTTCCTAAGCAAATTGTCTGCAAGTTTATTGCTTAGCTTCCATTAAAACTTCCTTCTTGATGACTGCTACAC